CCAATGCTCCCAGCCTAGCAGTACGAAGGTGGAGCAGGGGCCGATGGTCGGTAGCCCCCCACAGATAATCCTTCAATTTTTCCGTTACTGCCCACTTAAGTGCTAACAGTTTTAGCACTTAAGTGGGCAGTTTTGCCAAATTGAAAACCGCTGTAATTCTGATCATTTTGTTTGGCGTCATGCAGGCTCCGGCTGGCATAGGCAATCACCTGTTCTCTTCCTTCTTGGACTTGTCCCTGCAGACTGGCATCTGTGTATAGGGAAGGGAAGCATGAAATCAGCGTACGCCAGTATAGGGGCCTCCAGGTGGGCCTGCTTTAGGACCCTAAAGGCACTCACACTCGGGGGTCCAGTCCACTCTCTGCCCCGGTAGCCCCCATTAGCAGCCCATGGAGCGGAGCGGCTCGTTGTATTGTCGGCACTTTTTGGTCTCCGGTCTCCCGGGCCGCCGTGTTGTTGTTGTTCAAGGACTGAGCTGTGACGTGCTAACATGCAATGTTGTTTACGGTGCAGGGAAAGGCCTACCGGCATTAAGTAGCAAATGTTTGCATGACTCCCAGCATATATTACGCAAACTATACGTTGTCATTTTCATCGCCCATCTGTATTAACGTCTTCTGGTATCAATTATTGAAAATATTCACAATGGCTGTCAAACTTCTCATTTATTTAGTTAAAACTTTGTCATTTCAACACTACACGCAATTAACCCGTCCCGAACCCCGGTTCAACTTGGTTTCCATGGGGAAGCCGAGATGTTCCACTAGGTGGAAATAGAGGTTTTTTGCGGGGGATTGGTGGTGGAAACCATTATTGCAGGGATATTTTTGTGTTAATTACTAATATGGGTTTTTCTCTCTACAAATGTGATTTGGGTGGGGGGAAAACATTTTGTATATGTTTGTATATTTGTTGGTTGCGTGTTTTGGTTTATTATTTGGTTATTTTTGTGTGATTACAGGGTTAATTGTTTTGTTAGCAACGGGGCAATCTTGTGGGTGGGGTTACAGCTGTCAAGGTTGGTGGAAAGGCAGGACTCAAATGCAGACGCTTCTCGAAAACAAAAGACTTTAATAGTCGTAAACTCCAACACAAAATGGCCAAGGGGCAAAAACCGCTGGCAGAAACTAGAGCTATCCAGGACGATGGACAATGAAGTGACACAAGAGCCACACAGCTTAAATACACTAGGGAGGTGCAGGTGAATGGACACAGGTGGAAACGATCAGCAGATAGAAAGAACTGACATATTATTGCCACGTATTTGGAAAAAAACATACGTGGGAAAATAAATTCTTACAAAATGTGCATCTTTTCTGACTGCCATCGATTATGTTGCGACATTAACCAGGTACCTTTGTGCTTTAAAACTAACAGGGTACTTAGTAGTGCAAGGTCAAAGTGATGAAATAATGAGCTCAAGAGTTGACTAGTCATATGGCCTGTAGGGTAAAGCTGTACCTGAGCCCAGTGGTGTGGCACCAGACACCAGTGGTACTGTCTGCCCGATGGCTGCAAGTAGAACAGTTGGTGGTTGGGTTCTTATATTGTTCTTCTACCTGCACTGCTGGGTGTACAGGTCCCCTACGGAGGACAGTTTTGTCCTGGTGATGTACTGTTTTCAGTTGACTGGTTATATTCAAACCAAATCGGGCGTTCGTTGTGATCGGTCACAATGTCTCAAAACAGCTCTTCATTTCCAATTCCATGATTAGCCAACAGAGTCTGACAAAGGAGGTTGTATTTCTCCAAAAAGTTTATTTTGTTTCAACTCTTTGCCACCAGCCACCACCCCTTTTCTCCTGGCATGGAGTTTGGTAGCACTACCCATATTTATATTGGTCGGGGGTTAATAGAATGGATGGGTGACATGTTGCACTGCAGACCCTACCATCAGTGTATGAATGGGTGTGAATGGATGACTATTTTCAAGCGGGCACTGCTGCCCGGAGTAAGGCCGTGGTCAAAAAGGTGGCAGGTGATCTACCGGCACTGCGTTGGTGAACGACCTGATCCTCCTGGTTTATCGCATGCGCTCACTCAGAGTGCAACCCCCAGTGGAATTTTTAGGAATAGCAGCTACTTTTATAGAAATGCATTTTATGTCTTTGTTATTCTCACAATAGAAAAGTCTGTTTAGTAGTAACTATCCATTTGGATATCTAAAATCCAATTGGGCGGACAATGTATGATTACATGGTTGGCCCTATAATGGATGACAGCCTGCACCTCGGCCGTGTGTTCAGTCAAAACGAGTGTGTGATGGAGGGAGCAGTTGTGAGATACTGCTCAGTGTGTGTGTGTGTGTGTGTATATTCATCATTTTAAAGCCCATACACCATTTAAAACTTTGTCACAATTGGTATGTACATACACACCATTTAACATCCGCATTTAAAACATCCTCAGTGTTTTGATGAGCAGGACATTGACTTTGGTTTCTGTTTCTCCCCCAAGGATACGTTAACATGCAGACAGTGAGGTCAGTGGATCGAATCACCGCACTTGTAGATAAAGGACAACCCGCTGCAGCCGCTAAGCCACAGCAGCCCCACGTCTTTGTGGCGAGTTAGAAGAGGGGAGTGTTGGGTTTCATGTAAGCACTTCAGTCTTTAGACTATTACTCACCTCGACTATAAACAGGGGAGCAATTAAGCTCTGAGTAACATGAAAACAAAACATGTTCATTGGCTTAGCCGTGTGTCCTCGCGGTGCGAATGGTCCACTGTGTTAGAGGAGTCCTTTATTAATAATTTCCGTGTTCCAAATTCCGAATTCTCTGCATTCAACCCATCCCACACAGTAATATTATTATTATATAAAATTATTATTATAATAATAATTTAATTGTATACAGCGCTTTTATAAATACCCAAAGACGCATTGCATAGGACAAACAAACAACAGAATATTTTTGGGGGCAGCAGTGTGCTACCGTAGAGGCGCAGTTAGGGATTACATGTCTTGCTCAAGGACATTTTGACGGGACGTGTAGCAGCGAAGGTTCGAACCACTAACCCTGCGGTTATCCACGCACCCTTGGTACTACATGCCGTCACATTGTTAATGGTGTGCTGTGCTTGGTTTGGTTTGGTTACTTTAGCAGGTTGTCTCTGCTAGCAGGAAATTCTGTCAAGTGGTCGAGGGACCTGACTGAAACAAATCAGAGACTCTGGAGTCAAATAATGCAACTCATTAATGTGACGTATGCCACAAGTATGCAGGCTCCGGCTGGCATAGTGAAAACAATTGCAAATGCAGCCAAGTTTAATCGCCCATAACCAGTTGATAAAAAAATCAGCCTAATTTGCATTTAGGAATCCTAAAGTTTGCTATTATTTGCTTGACAACGGAATGAAATCTATCGATGTGTGCCATCAATTAAAAAATGATGTTACATCACGCACCCGCGGTCTACCGCGGGAGATGACCGAAACTAATGCTAATGCTAATTAGCGATCCTTGCTTACTAACGGGCGCACTTTATTTCATTCCAAAGCAACCCAGGCTGACTCCAGTATGGTAATGACCAAGAATGTGCGGGATGCTTGTGACGGTTTCCTCCTTCTGACAGACAGACGCCCACCTATGCATATAACGTATAACACGGGAGCGTAAAGAACGTTGCAGGTTATTAACTGCGCATGTAATGTTAACTTCATTGTCTTTCCAAATCAGTTAGGTACTCAAAATAATATATACCAAATAAATATGAATGAATACAGATGAGCCCCACGTGGCAGATGCAACATTAAAGCGTTAAACATGTCAACATTAACAGTTGGTTGATGGAGATTGACAGTTTGAAGATATTTTTTGCTGCTGCCAATTTGTTTCTCTTCAGCGGACATTTAGGTCACATGCTGCATGCATATCAGCATTCATTTCATTCCCCTCTTGTCAAGTCCATATATCAACTTTTTAATTTTCGCATAGACCTATGCATATGTGCTGTGTGTGTGTGTGTGTGTGTGAACCTAAAGCTTGCTAGGTAGAGCAACAGTAAGAATTCATGCTAAGCTAACAACGTCCTGACTCTTACTCTGCATTGCACACACACACATGAGACTCTGAGTGAAGGGAAGTGAATTTCCTTTGATGTCGAGCTTTTCCTTTTACAGAGTGTCCTCTGACATCAGTGATGGAGAAAAGATCAAGGGCACACAACTGCATTGTTGCTACAGAAAGAGAGAGAGTCTGTACCTGGATGTCTCTGATGCCCTCTACTGTGCGCACACACACACCCTCCCACACGGGAGCACCTGGGGTATCTCCTCGGCACTCTATGGTACTCCAGGGTGTTGCACGGGGACATCTAAGCCTCGCCACGGAAAACGTCAGCACGACAAAAATACGCAGTGCCCCCCTCCTTCCCCTCAGCCCCTCCACACTCAGTCTTCTCCACCACCTCAAGCTGTCCATCCGTGTGCCCCCTCTTACATCCCTGGTCCCCTTCTCTGGTCTCCTCCTCATCTTGTTTCCCAAAATTGCAATACAAGAAGTGGGTTCAGAATATGCGTCTGGTTATTTATTCCGCGTGAGTAAGAGAGGAAGAAATTAAACATTAAGAGGTGAGGTCATTTGAGTTTTTAGGCAACGGCAGGCTAAATATTAAGGCGTTGACTGAAACAAGTTTTATTCGTATATTCAATGTATCATTGCTTGTAAGAAGTGCTACATTGAAATAATAAATCATATTAAGAATTGTTATCACACTTAAAGATTATAAGAAGACACAAAATGATTTATGCCACAACCCTACGGCTTTAGGCTGCTCTTGCTGGGGGCACTTTGTGATAGAGCTGGTAGGAAGACAACACATCAGGATGCTCCTAGTGACCTTGCAGTGATGACTTTTTACTTTTCAGTAATGCAATTACAGTAACCGCCGAATGGCGGGGTTACCTTCAGGAATTGTCCGGGTTTGGTGTGTGAACCCTGCAGGGAAGGAGTGAGGACACCGCATGTCATTCCAAGGCAAAAGCCTCACATGGAAAGAACTTTTTGAATTGGCTGATGCCATCTTTAATTGACTTTATGGTACTTTTTATTCAAAACGTGCACTGCTCAAAAAATAAAGGGAACACTTAAACAACACAATGTAACTCCAAGTCAATCACACTTCTGTGAAATCAAACTGCCCACTTAGGAAGCAACACTGACAATCAATTTCATGACATGGCACAGCCCTTGATGTGCTCGCCAGAGGTAGCCTCTATGCCATTAGGTACCGAGATAAGATCCTAAAACCCCTTGTGAGACCATATGCTGGCCCTGGGTTCCACCTAATGCAAGACAATGCTAGACCTCATGTGGCTGGAGTGTGTCGGCAGTTCCTGCAAGACGAAGGCATTGATGCTATGGACTGGCCCACCGGTTCCCCAGACCTGAATCCAATTTTGTTGTCAACACATTCAACTATGTAAAGAACAAAGTATTTAATAAGACGATTTCATTCTATTTTATCAGTGTATGTATTTACAAGGTTTGCAACGGATTCCGGGATCATTTATCTTCCTCATGCAACAAACTGATGGCATTATAAAATGATCCATCTCTGGAAGATGTGTGCTGTCACCGACTTGATTTCATCCATCTTATTTTTATGTGACTGGAACTCCGATATCCAGGAAGGAAGTGGAGCGGCCTTAAATCCTAGGTTAGTTTAGCCCCGATCTCGGCGCCTCTCCCTGGGGCAGTTTGGTGCCGTTCAGTCCGATATAAATGTAATGTGTGTGGTATTTCAAATAACTTATTCATCACAATGGGAAAATACACTTTTTATGTAGTGGCAGTAACATACCACTGTGCTCACCTCACGTGTGTGGTGTTTGCTGTCAGGTACTGCAATAATGTTTCCAAATACTGCTACACAGTATGAGTGATCTTTTCTATCCCTTTCTTGTTAATTTCATTCTGAGTGCATCAGGTTGTTCACAGACAACGATGTCGGGGGCTGAGGCCCAGATTTCTAGTTTTCTACTGCGAAGCCATAATTAATGAACAGGGAGTAGAGCAGGACACTGTTGGATGATTAATAATGAATGAGACAGACAGAACGAGGGAAAAAGATAACACAACCAGATAAATTCAAGCAGTTTCCAAAACCGATCAAATTGCAATTTAAACCTACACACCGCTGTTTAGGACAAAGTACCAACAGATATCAGGTCACACCGACCTGAATGACCAAATTCATACATTCATACATTTGCTTTAATGAGGCGTTTAGCTTTACATTAAGACAGAATTTCCCAAAACCAAAACATTAAACAACAAAAATCGTACTGTCCAACAGTAGAAGAATGCCACCATGAATAACTACCAGCACATTGGCAAACACAGACACCTAAACACACACTGCAAGGTGCGTGCCATCAAATCCAAGCTGCTTTCAAATCCAAGCTCTTCCCCCAGCTTTTTATCCACCATGGCACCAAACATCTGATGGCTTCCAGCCCCGCTCACTAAGGAGTTCCACCCGGTAGCTCCTCGCAGGATACCGAGCTACCTGGAGGGGGGGAGAGAGTTTGAGTTTTAGAAAAACCTTTATTTTACATAAAACAATATCAATAAGACGACAATACAGCAGGTATATAATATAAAATAAATAAAGCATAATCAATTTAGTATAACATATATATAGTATAATCAATTCAGTATAACGTATATAGTGTGATAAATATATTATAATCAGTCGATCTGGACGGACGCCTCACTCGGTCCCAGTGGTGCTTCCTCCTTCCTTTTGGATCTTTACGAGTAGCTCCTCAGTCTGGAGACCTCCTGCTGGGTGAAACTTCCAGCTCCTTTCTTGGTGCTGCCGTGCCGAGCGGAGCGAGCGAACTTCTCCACGTCGGAGAAGCTGTCCTCCACCCTCACTCCTATCGTTGGTGGTCAGCAGGAACTCCTTCATCTGCCCCACCCCGTACCTGCTGGTGACCGTCCCACCCGAGGAGATGCTGGTGCCAGAGCCCCACCCAGAAGAGGACTCGGACTCCCCACCTCCCCTCTGCTCGCCGCCCCCCCCTCCCCCCTCTTTGCCTGAGAGCCTCCCCTGCTGGCCCTAGTCTTCCTCTTCAGGTGGGAGACCTTAAAGACCCCCCCTCCCTCCTCCTCGCTGTCCGAGCTTCCACCTCGTACAGCACCCCCACCGTTGAGCGCCCCCCGAGCTCCTTCACCTTCCTGTTGGACCCCCATCTCCTCTTTCACTCTGTCACTACACAAGACCCGCCCGCCTGGCTACATTCAACCCCCCCATCTCCTCCCTCACCCCCCTGACCGACCGGCTGCGCCTCACCGTCCCTACACTCACCCCCTCACCGACCGGTTGGGCCTCACCCACCACCACACTCACCTGCCCCCACACTCACCCCATCTCCTCTCCCACCAGACCGACCCGCTGGTCCTTACCTTCCCCCTCTTCCTCCCTGGCCTCTCCCTGGTTCTGGTCCCGAGTGGAGGGGTTCTTCTCCGGACACACCCTCGCCAGGTGTCCCTCTCCACCTCATCGGAAACACCTCCCGTCATCCGATGTGGCAAACATAACGTAGTCAAACCCCTCGATCCTCACCGTCATCACCAGGCTGAGAGCCTGGGCTTTGGTGAGGACCATGTGGGTCTGTCTCCTGTGAGAGACCACATGTCTCAGCAAGGGTGACTTGCACCCTGAGGACATCTTCCTTAACGGGGACACCACCTTCCCGTGCTTCGCCAGCTCCTCGATCAGCGCTTCGTCCGGAACGAATGGCGGAACGTTCGCTACCGTCACCCTCACAGCCGGAACGGCGAGCGGAAGAACGGGCACGTGCGCACCGCGGACGACCACGCCGCTCGCCACCACCTCGCGCGCCTTCTCCAGGCTGTCTACAAAAATGACCACCGCGCGGTTCATCCCCCACGGCCAGACCGCAGTCCTCCACGGAGCACGCGGAGCCCGGCGCGAGCTTCACGCCGTGCTTCCGCGTCAGCCCCGTGAGGTCCGACCGGCTACAAACACGGACAAACTAACACAGAAAGAGACAAAAGACACACATACACACCACCACGCATTCACCCCACAACACACACCAGAAAAACACCGAAAATAAACGAAATAACGGATAGAAAACACTTTCAAACAATTCACCTCACGCTCCGTTCACTCACCACTCCTTCCGCTCCGATTTTTCAAGCATGTTTATTTCCACAAAACCCCACAAAGTACAATAAAAAAAAAACGCAATCTGACTAAGCACATCATCTCTTCACATCGTCCCCGTGTTCACTATTCCTCGCGTCATTGTCTCTTGAAAGCCTGCATGGTGGTCATACTTAGGCCTTCAGCTCTAGAAAAATAATAACATAACATAAAAAACAACCACAAGCCAGAAACCGGTCGGTAGAGTCAGGAGTCTCTTCCCCTACGTCGTTTCTCCACCTCGGACAGCCTCTCCGTCCTCCCACTCAGGTCTCTCCCGTTAAGCTAGATGGATTCCCGCCCGAGAAGAGTCCACTTCAGGTCCAGGATCTCAGGGTGGTGGGATCGGAGGAGGACGTCATGCCGCCGAGCCCAGAGGTCCGTGTGTTTCTCCTCTGGCCTTCAGTATCAGCTTCCGCAGCCTGAAGACCTCCCGATCAGTGAGACCTCCTCTCCCTGCACTGCTCATATATGATCTGACAGACTCGGAGAAGGTCTCTTTGTCAGAGAAGTAGTCTTCTACCTCGATCCTGTTCTCTATGACGACGCTGCCAACAAATATGACCACAGCCCCGTTCATCCGCGCTGCGGACTTCACGTTGCTGTGGCCGACCATCTCCCACAACGCCAGGCTGCATTCTTCCACCAAGCATGGGAAGCGCGGCGGTATTTTGCAGCCTTGCTTCCTCGTTAGCTCCGTGAGCGTCATGCCGGCGTGTAGCGCAAACTACCCACAACAATCACCCAAACCCCTTTTATGTGCACTAACACCACGAACCCTGCACACCACAACACTTAGAATTCACCACATTAGCAGCAAGAAATAACGAACGGACTATCAGACGCTCACAATCACGCTCCACAAGCTCAACACTCCTTCCACTCACACAGAGAGAGAGACAGAGACCACTCGTAACAACAACAAATACCAGATGACTGCCTCAACAACCAAATAAAGGCCAATAAATGTCCGGAGGCAGAACGAGGCTAGTCACAACAGCTAGCATCACATTTTGGGTTAGACTTTTTAATGTAGTGTGTGGAGAGCCCATTAGACATTGACTGACATCAACTGACTGGTTGTAGTCACTGAAACCTGCACAATGGTTGTCATGCTTAAGTTGGCATGTTCCCGTATACCTTCTGATTGAAAGGGCTCAATGAAAATACAAAGTGGTATTTATGTTGTAAATGTGTGAAAGGATACAGCTCTGATCTGTTTGTATAGAACAAACATCCATCCGCAAACCGCTTATCCTTCGGGCGAGAGACTGGGTACACCCTGGATGGTCACCAGCCAATCACAGGGCTAACACAGAGACATCACACACCTACATCAACCTGATCCCCAGAGTACTGTGGGAGGAAGCCGGAGTACCCGGAGGGAACCCACACAGACACGGGGAGAACATGCATACTCCACACAGAAAGGCCACTGGGCGGAGTCGAACCCAGGACCTTCTTGCTGTGAGGCAACAGTGCTAACCACTACACCACCATGCCGCCCCTAGAGGACATACGTTTTATGTTAATTCTTCATTCTCTAGGATTCTACAAAAGAATATATCATGTTGAGCAGGATATGTTTTTCTATACACTCCTGCCCATTCTGGTGTGTTCTGTATTACAATAGGATCACCCTTAACAGCAGTGAAAATGTACAATCTGACTTTCTATAAGCTCAATACCTCCATCCATCAATCAATCCCTCTTTTACTCATCCCTTGTTACCTGCTAATTAATAAAACTATCCTCCGCTCCTAATTGTCTACTGTTTATAAGTCCACAAGCGACACCAGGGAGCAAGGGAGAGAGGGAGCGAGAGTGATCCAGATGTAGCGGTGGAGGGGTATAATTATGTTAAGCCAAATCACACATGAACTTGATAGAGCTTATTCTCAGAGAGGGAATGCATGGATAATGACAGGAAGGAGGAGGTGGAGGCCTCACGTTTATTTCAGTTGAAAGAGAGTTGAACAAGACTGATGTAATGCACTTTACAGGAAAAAGCACAATGGAAGTAAGAAAGACTGTAAGTACAACCATATCGGTGTCTGGCCTCTTATGCAGAGGCTTTCAGGTTTCTCACATGTCACTGGGAGAATTCTCTTCTCAAGATGTGAGCTGTTGCCACTGGGCTTTATAAACCAAGCTATTAGTAGGTTTAAGATCTGCTGTACAACACTCAAATTAAAGTCAGTGACTGTACAAAAGCCAAGCTTTGAAAAAAGTATTCCCTCGACATTAGTTGCTAACATCACAGGGACTTATTCTTTGCCTATTTCTTGGGATTTGACCTCATCGTTTTGCACATATTGTAAAAAGCCCAAACAATGCTTCAGGTCTAATACACTTGCAGTCAAGGCGATGTGTGCAGTTGTAGGTTGTATTCATTCAATCAAACAGTGTGCAATGCACGCACCCTGAGTTATGTCACATGAAAAAAGCATTACATTTTAGGAAAATTACAGCTAATTTGCATGTAAAATGATCATATCCACTAATCTGTAATAATCTTTCATGCCAAGGACCACACCATGACTCAAACAGATTGTATATTTCAGTCATGATTTTAAAATAATGTTAACTTATTTGGTACAATAACGGTTAACTTATATCATATTATCTAATTTAACAACCTGATGATGTTTTTAAACAGCCGTGTCCGTTATGCCAATGGGTTCCTATTCATCTCAGAGTCCTAATGTTAATATCTTAATCATATAAAAAAAAAATTACCAGCTGCACCTGAGCTCATTTTACTGCCATTTCCTGTTGTATCTAAAGCTCATTGAATTACTTTGTTGCTTCTCTTAAGTTTATTATTGAGCTTACCTTGAATCTGTGTTTTTGTTTAATAGAAGTTTCAAATAAAACATGAACAAGTTTTCTTTAATAAAATAATCCATTTAACATCAAATGACTGTGAGCAAGATTTATAACAAGTGGGTCAATTTACAATGTAAAAGTAAACCAAACCCTCTGGTGGACAGAGTACGTAATGACCTCCAACATACAATTGACATTTCTGTACCAACACATGTATGGAGAGTTCACATCCTAACATCTACAATCACAGCTCACAGTATCACTATATGAGCTTGAGCAAGAGGCTCAGTGCATCCACTGAACTCTGAATGTTTGCATGAAATCAATCAAGTGCCACAGATCAAAATCAGTATGATAAAATTAATCAAACAGACATTGCTATCACCAGAGAGCCCCAATAAACAATGGAACACTTTATAGTGGAAATTCTTAAAGACCTGGATAACACATGTTGTGTTGTGCATTTGTTCTTCTTCCACCAAGGTCATGGCCACAGCTCAAAGTCACACTTAAAAAACTCACAAATCAACAATATTCTAACACTATGTACTTAGAACTTCACCGGGCAGATTTTTCATTGCCATAAAGGTCAAAGAACTTAAAAAGTGGAGATTTTGTGCAAATAAAATGGTTACCGCTATTGCTCGTAATTATTATTATTCAGGCAAACTGCCCGAGGGAGGAAGGCTGAAAAATGTGGGGACCACTGCGTTAGACCTTTTCGACCACGGCGTTACTCCAGGCAGCAGCGCCCGCTTGAAAATGACGTGTGTCCCCTGTCGACCATTGGAGTGGAGTGGAGGGCAGAGAGAACATCTCTTTGTTAATAACAACAATATCAGACTTTCTTTGAAATAACGTTTCTTTCAAGTTTAGTAGTTTGCATAGATGACATTAGAGAAGGTCAAATGTATGTCTTGGCAACATGTGATCAGGACATGACAGCAGTTTGTGAGCACAGGATGAATCTAATTAATAAACTCACTCTCCTGAAGAGTGATGTTACCATACAGTTTTTCATTCTTTAATTAAGCTGTGTGGGGAAAATTACTTGTATTCGTGAATTGAAACAAAACTACCGTATTTTCCGCACTATAAGGCGCACCGGATTATAAGGTGCACCTTCAATGAATGACCTATTTTAGAACATATTTCATATATAGGGCACACCGGATTATAGGGTGCATAAGATACTGCAGTCAAACGTTTGACGTCGGGGCGGGTGGATGGGGGGGGATGTGGGGAGGTGGAGACGGTGCTTTCAGGGTCCGATCGATGCTGCGAAGTTCATAGCACAAAACCGCCATTAATAAAACGAAGAATGTTTACGAGATAACGGATCAGATTGAAGAACATTTGTTGGAAGAAATGCGTAAATATGACCGCTTATACAACCCGTCATTGGTGGACTATAAGGACGCGCGGACGGCTCCGATTCATGGAGGGAGATCTCCACAAACGTCAGTTTGCCGGTCGAGAGGTGCACAAAGTTGTGGAGGAAAATACTGTATTTTCCTCCATAACTTTGTGGAGATGAAAAGCAGCAGTGGCGATGCACGGGGCAATAAAGTCTATGATAAATAAATAAACAAACCAACAACTTCCACACACAAAGACGTGACTCTCTAGGTCGTCTTCAACAAAAACACGTTACTCCACCTGTTGTTCTGGCGGTGAATTGCTCTGCAACACACGCAAGACTTTTTGACCCATGAATTGAACGCAACGACGCAGACGCAGAAGCATGCGCCAGCCTTAAGAATAACTTATTTTCCCCGTTAAAATGGTTCAGCCACTGTAAAGAAAAGTTTCTCCGACGCGCCCTGAAACAAGCTCCATATCTCACGCGCTTGAGCGCCCGCTCAACATCTCGCCGTCGTAGACCGAGCTTCGGTATGTTTGGCAGAGCGCCTTGAGTGCCGTGTACAACCAGTATGGATCCAGTATGGATCAACCAGTTAACCAATTGATCCATATATAAGGCGCTCCGGATTATAAGGCGCAGTTGTTTTTTGAGAAAATTAAAGGCTTTTAAGTGCGCCTTATAGTGCGGACAATACGGTAGGTTATCGTCAGCAAAACATTGCAATTGGGCTTAAAATTGTTATGAATGTTCACCTGTTTTTTAAAACACTTGTTCATAGAATAAAAAAAGAAGAAGTTAAGAATGTAAATGTGTGTGTGTGTGTGTGTGTGTGTGTGAGCCTCAGAGCCGTTGGGTCAGTCTCCAGGTGAGGACGCTTCCCAGAGCCAGGCCGGCGATGAAGATGAGGACGATGCCGTAGCTGTGGGGGCTCATTGATGATACGCTCTGAACGGACGCCACCGCCAATTCAGAGAAACTGTTTATCTGTGGAGACACATCTGTGATCACGTGGTGTGGACATCCATCTGGCTAAATATATTAGAACCATATTCAGTGATACTAAATGGGTTGGAAAACAATCAAACAAAACAAGCAGTCCATGTGGCTGCAGAATGTTTTGACAATTATGATAATGATAATGCATTCATCTTCCTAATAATAGTAATCAACACTGAAAAACGGGGTGACTATTGGGGGCAGCGTGGTTCTTTATAGAAGGCAGGATGTGCTGTGTTGTAGTGGTGATGCTTCTCTCTCTCTCAATCTGTGGTCTGCAGTCTTTTAACCACCAGTACGAGGTTCTGTCTGCAGCTTTTGCTAATCGAAGAGTGTAATTAAATTACATTTTAAATTTTTTCCTGGTGATATTAGTCAATGAGCACTATTTCAGCCAATTGTTTTGAGTCTTCTTATGAAAGGACATGATTGGTTAACTTAACCTTATGGTAGTTTAACGTCTAGTTCTACGAACTGTGACTTAGCAAAGAGCAGGGTGGCCCTTCAATCAAAGGATTGGCAGTTCAATCGCCAGCTCTGGTAGTCCGTAATTGTGTCCTTGGGCAAGACTATTATCCCCAAAAATATCCCTACAGTATGTGAATGTTATTTATTAATAGGCAGGTAGCACTGTGTATAATAACATGTAGAGTCCAAGAAGAAGCAACTGGAAGAAATAAAGGCCCAACATACCCATCCTCCATGTTCCCGAATCCAGCCCAGTAGATTGTTTCTGAAAAAGTCCACAGTCCACTTGAGGATCTCCCTCACTGACTGAGGGAGGTGAGCCTTCACCATCTGAATGACAACAGAAACACACAAAAAGGTCCATGCACAGGGTGAAAATGCAGTCCAGCTCTGTGGTTCATTTCCATGACATGGCTGGAATATGGCTGAACGGGTCATTCCAAAGTGTTATCGATGCAAAGCAGAAGCGGATAGAGAGAAATGTTTATGGGCTGGCTGAAGAATAGGCTTATATGCTCATTAAAGAGCTAACATTCATTAGATTAAATATAAAAGTTATATATAGTCCTACACTTTTTGAGGCGCATGAGTTAAGAATTGACATGACAAAATCAAAATAAATCCAAATAATATATACTGGCTTATTTGGAGATATAGCTCCAAATGGGTGTATCTATCTCCAAATAGGCCCGTCATGGACACATTTTTACTGGGTGAACTCTTACTGCAGGCAGGAATTTATATGCAGGAAGGGAATGCAAATGTGAAAAGACGGGTGCATGCCAAGTAACAACAGTAATTTTAGTGGTGAGCATAAGCACTTGAGGCCTCTATAGACAGGTGAGCTCTGGGAGGAAGGGAAGACCACCCACCCTGACAGCCAGCTTGCCGGCCACGTAGAAGAGCACAGCAATCCTCTCCCAGGTGATGCCGTGTTCAAATACTTTTTCTGCCACTTGCTTGAAGCGGTCCCCCTTAGAGCTGGAGGAACAAGCCACTCCGTCGATTGCACTGAAACAGAGCGAGGGTGCGGCTCATTACACGTTCTAGTCTTTACCACCCACGGCGGACTGTATGGAGACTCACTCTTGGAACTCCTGGTCGTCTCGGACCCTGTCGCCGATGATGCGGATCATTTTGCCCAGCTGGGTCACCATCTGCTGCTCCTGCTCCGTCTTTAGCTCCACGGCCAGCGGGGTGAGCGGAGGGAAGTCCTCCGAGGACGCGTCCTTCAGCTCCTCCTCGATGACCCTACAGGAGAACGGGACGTCAGAGGAGCCATACTGTGGAGGGGGGCTTTAACTTTGTGGGATTGTCACAGCGGAGTAAAGCTGCGAGGACAACAACACAATTCTTCTATTTCTCATTGAAACAAGCATTTTCCACATCATATTTTTGACGTGACTTTATCATTTCTTGTTACAGCTTGACTACTCCTCTGTTTTCTGGGGCTTAAGTATGGTAATGTCAACTCGGCCGTTTGGTTACCGTGGTTCCCCAAGTTAACCAATACAAACACAATACAATAGTGACTAACGTGAACGCTTGTACTAGCTGCAGTGAATATAAAGGTTTACACTCGCATTAAAATGCCAGTTCGTCATAAATGAGACCAAGACGAATACAAATCCTGATCCCAAACATTTATGTTACCTATAACGTAAACAATAAAAAAAAACCTAACCCTGAGGCTGTTTTTTGGCCTCTGCTCTGAAAATGGCACACACATGAAAACAGTATAATAACTCTAACTACTTTGTCTATCTGGATAGTTTTCTTTCTGTGGGGATAAAGAGGAACCCCTGTGGGTGTTCTGATGTGTAGAACTGTTTTGAATAAGTTACCAGTGGTGAAATAAATCAATATAACACCCAAAGAGTGAGGATTATCACTAAGTCAGGCTTTTGTGCAGCCCTCATGACTGCCATACGATAGCAGTCAGTATCTGGATTTTTTTGTCTAACTCCGGCTGTGGTTGGCCGATCTGCCCCAATCAACCTCTTGTGCAAATTGTCTGGTCCTATTGTATCCGGGTAAATAGTAACGTTAGCTGTGTGTGGGTACCCCAAACAGGATTGAACCATATGTGCCTTTTTACAAAATCCCACCATTGCACTGATACTAGACAAGACAGAAGCCTTTCTTACAAAGGAAAAACATCCAAGCCTGGTAAAATTTAGCAAAAACATACATTAAATCTCCCTATAGCATGTCAGAACAGCATCATAGCATAATCCCCACAGTGAAGTATGGAGTGGGTGAGTATCAGTTCAGTTCACAAGTTCAGCGCAAACTAAAACTGGAAGAAGCTCTGATGGCGAAGACCAGAGAAATAAAAAAAAACCCATTATTTTGTTGGTGATGTTTTTTAGCTGTGCTAAATAGTAACAGGACATAGTAACAGTGGTTTTGTCTAAGTAAAAGTCCAAAAATGTATTATTCTAGCAAAAAAAAGAAAAAAAGATTCCCAATGAATAGTTTTTGCAAACGAGGAATGAGCCCAACACGTGCTTCGATTCGTAACAACGTATTGTAAACTGAATATATTCGTGTTTCGCACAGTTGAGTTCGCACAAATGATTTCCATCGTGGGTTCTAAAAACTTGAGAGCGCCGAGAGAGGACTTACTCTTTGATCAGGGCCTCTCCGATCCTCGCGTCTGTGGAAGGATAAAACGAGTCAGTGATGTCTACTTTCACTTTACGTTACACCTTCAATGACACAAGGCAGCGTTCAACCTCGGGTTCAAAGAAAGGCACAATAATGTCACGGTTGTTTATACAGCAAAACGAGAATTACAAAACACAAACAGGAAAATTAAATGAACAGACTGGAATAGAGATCTTAAAGTGCTCTCTGAAGCTCACCCGACATGCCGTTTCCTTCACACGCCATGGTTTAACGTTAAATAAAACACTTCTAAAGTTAGAGAACCTCTTCTTCCCTACTTTACTGACTGAATCAAGTGATTGAAACGCTATTCATGTGATACATATAATATCTGGTTAATAAACAATACATATAGAAAGTAAGAAACTTCTGAGCGCGGCGGAAACCAGCCGTGCCTCACTCAATTACATCCGTGTTGAAACGTGACACATTCACGACCTGTTATGTGAATATGTCACGTTGACGTGACGTCACGCTACACTACATGCCGTTTTTTCCCACATTGGAATATTTTTAACAGTATCACAGTGACACAAATCAGTATATTAGTTTTCAGTATCATACTGTGTTTGTGTTACATATGCACTATATCAATTTAAAGAAGCTAAAATCATGTATCCTGTTAAATTGTGTCATAAAAAGCGTGAAAATGTACATACAATAATGAAACGTTTTATTATACAAACGCGAATGTTATTTTATGTTGGTTTTTATTTATTTTTTATATTTTCAAACAAATGCTCCATCTACATGCTTTCTTTTACACTATTGCTTCTATGATCGTTCAGTGTAAAATGAAAAGAATTGTTGTCATCAATGAAGGTCCGCTCGATTTTAGCACCGCTGGGCCTGGGAGACAGTGCCGCACACTGCTGACACTCGATTAATGCATAGAGACCTCTTGCTGACGGTACGAATGTGAAAAAAAAGCTCATTTTCTTGTCGCTCTATGATTGCGTCATTAGCTTGCGGAAACGGTGCATCGGCGGTTCCCTGCATGCTTGCTGTAACGACAGTGAAAGGGTTTTGCTTTGCTGGATACCAGAGCGGGTTTAAACGTTTATTCATCGCCATGTCGTCTCTCCTGAAGGTCGACCGCGACCTGAAGAACAGGGTGAGTTTTCGATCCGCCCGTCCGACTCCTTTGAGACACATCGGGCCTGGACGTCATACATCCACGGCCTGGACACAGCTCTACCCGTCCAACCGGGTTTTTCTCACTAGAATTACTGCACGTGGGTAACGATAAAACCCTACACTGATCACCTGGGTCACTCTAATGGATACGTTAACGCTCCCGGACTTTTAAGTTAATAGTTAACGTTAGGCTATATGATATAAGTACATTATATGACCATTTTTTTACTGAAAAAACGTGGTGTTTTATCAGTTAATTACCCTTATTTTAGTTTGTTTATTATATATCTGAACAGCGCAAGTAAAATCGTATAAAATACGATACGGTAATTTCCGTCATCGTGTGCTTAATATTAATTTATACATTGTAATAAAGGTGTATCATTCTAACTCATGATTTAATCTCCTCGCTTTGAAAGACAATAAATGATTATTGATGAAACCAACAGCATTGCTATTCTATAGAATATTCTATACGCTTTTCTGATTACTAACAAACTAGTAGTTGGTTACGATATATTCAATACAATTGTTTAAATGGGAGTAGAGTTGGGTTGAATCATCTTATCAAAGGATGACCAAATGGTGTGAACTCAAGCAGCGAGTGTAATCCCACGGTCATTTTTAAAGAAAAAGGATGGTTGTAATAAGTGCGGTTGTATGTGTGCTTTTGTACAAATTACCTCACTCACATCTAGATCTAGGTACTTCAAGCCTCCTCCTGGTACACATGCAAGAAAAAAATCCAGGGGCCGTGAATCCTTTGACCATAGCCTCACTGATCTTGGCCACATGTGCATCGAAGCAGAAACTTCATGACATAGTTGTCAAGTAAAATGATATATTCATAATAAGCTTGTTGCTGCATAACAACACCTTTAGTAATTTAATGCCCAGACAACAACATTATCAATCATTTGATGCTATACCACCAACAAGGAATATAAAGGAGTTCTAACTGTCTGTTTATCTGTTGGCAGGTGGAAACATTCAGGGAGCAGATCAGCAGTGAGGTGAGTAGATCTTCTCTTACTTCCTCTCTGGTTCAGTTTATGCCCTCTGTTGGCGTCGCAAGCAGAAGTGTTCTCTCTCTTTTTGTGGCTGTAGGCTGAGCACCTGGTCGCCAGCTTTTTTCCTAAAAAGCTTCTGGAGTTGGATCAATTTCTCAAGGTGAGTGACTGAGCCCTTGTTTGACAATTGAAATAGAGTTCTAATTGTACAGATCCTGGCACACCCAATCATGTAAAAAAATGTAGAAAACACTAGAGTGCATACTCTCTGGGTCTGTTGTTTTCATCTGAATTGTGTACTCCGATGTCAAACATTATTTCTCTCCATGCCCTAGAGCCTGATGAGGGTATTTTACTGTATGAAACAGGATTACTCACCTATTGAAACATAATTTCTATGCTCATTTGTATGTTAAAGGGTGCTCCCAGACATCTTAGACCGCACTGTCTGCAGTTCAATATTTAGCATCTCTCTTCCCCTCATTTCCTGTCCTGTTTGTACTATCTCAGAGAAAGAGGTAAAAATGCTCCTAAAGCGCTTATATGCGTACAAATGTAATATTTTGTTAATTTTCAACCTCTCCCATGTGGTCTGTATCCAGGAGCCTATTCTCAATGTGAAAGACCTGAAAGAGATTCATTCAGAGATTAAGTTCACAGTCCCAGAGCCGATTCTCTTCACCAACAGCCACGATGGCGTGGACGTGGTGAGTGTGCACTGTTCAAAGTCGTCATGTGGCTGGGTGACCCCGCCACATGACGTACCATGACTAGCTGATTGTCAACACATGGATACTTGCAGGCCAAACAGAGCCACATACCTAGGCCTTCTTTATGGTTGCTTGTTGTGGAGATAGTTCCGTTGATCATTTGACCGGAACAGTGGTCCAAATCGACTAAATAAAAAAGTAATGCACTAAAACGACAACTGCCAAAATGCATGGCAATTGTTCACTTGCGCTTGTGCCACTTGAATATGAATATGAACATGAATACAAAGTATCTACATAGAGATAGAGTTTGAGTTCCCCCCCCCCCCTAAAACCACAGAATAGTGACTATTTAAAGCTTTTCAAACGAATGCTACAATTTTATGAGCTGCTGTCCATCAAAAAATATGACCGATAACAGGTGAGGCATCAACACTAAGAACACTGGGGGATCCTCGTGGATCCTGACACAGAGCTGGCCACCGTGTTCCTACACTACCCCTGAAAGTACGGACTGCCTCTAAATCAGGCCATTGGTGGTTTTTTTTTGCCTTGGCCATTGTATTTCTCTTACACCTAACACACACAAGAAGTCCGATGACTTGGGCTAACTTTCCTTTACCGGTATAGCACAAAAATCAGAGTACCAAGCTGTTTTTCTTTTCTCTATAATCTTGAGGTTAAGCCATTGACTGATCCACTGGATTATGTTAATTGATTATCTGACAACAGCAATGTGCGGTCCTAAATTGTATTGCTTTTCATGATTATCATTAACCTTGTATACAGTACAGGGCAAACATCTGGATACCTTTTGTCATTCAATGTGAAAGTGGGTCCAAACTTTGGACTGGTCGTGTGAACTGAAACACTTGCAATAGAAGTTACCATTGGTGAAGGGATATGATTATTAGGGCATACTATGTGTACCTCAGCGATTAACATTACTGCTGCTGCTCTGCATTACAGTCCTCTATCCACACTGAGCTGAGTCAGGAGAGGTTTTACAGGAGGTGAAAGGGGTGCTTGGTTGTTGATAAAAGGTGCCTCCATATACGTCACCTGCCTCAGATCAGTCAATGGCATTATTCCATTTAATGAAGTCAGAACTACTCATTCTATCGACATCACAAATGAAAACTCCATCCATCCTCAAACCGCCTATCCTTGGGGTGCTGGAGTCAATCCTAGCCAACTTCGGGCTACACCCTGGATTGGTCGCCAGCCAATCGCAGGGCTAACATAGAGACATACAACCATTCACACTCACATCCACACACCTACTATCTATTGTAGTTGTTGATACTTCTCAGTGTGGACAAAAGTGATGCTTTGCCTAATAATGACATGTCTTCATCTGTTTGTGCTGCAGAATACCAAGAAGAGGAAACTAGAAGACGGAGTTGCTGATGAGAGCTGGCAAGGTAAAGACTAAACACTTTTCTTTTTGGTTCACAGTTGTATAATATGAATTAATTTTACGTTTTTTTTCCGTGAATAAGTCATATTGCCGAACTCTAGGCAGTTTAACCACAACTACTTGAATTAATTGGAATGAAAAGATCAACTTACCAGTGATTCAATAAAAACCCGATCAGTCTATTGCATTGTTTGTGAATTATAGATACCCAGCTGGCTTTGGAGGTCCCAGACTTGCCTTTGCGTATGCACTAAATAGGAGTTAAGAGTATTCAGCTTTTTTGGAGACCCTGGATGAGGTCTTGCTTGGGACTCCTGTAGGTGTCTCCATAGTCCTATTGAGAGACTTCAATGCACATGTGGGCGATGATAGAGATATCTTGAGGGGTGGATTGGAGGAAACGGGCTTTCCTGATCTGACCCTGGGAGGTTTTCCAGGAATGGCCAGCAGGGAAGATCCTTCGGGGAAGACCCAGGACTAGGTGGACAGATTTTATCTCCACGCTGGCCTGGGAACGCCTTGGGATCCCCCAGTCAGAGCTGGTAGATTTGGCCCAGGAAAGTGAAGTTTGGGGTCACCTGCTAGAGCTGTTGCCTCCACAACCTGACCCCGTTAAGCGGTTGAAGATCAGATGAGAAGTGATGTTGCTAGGTACGCATCCTGCGTCACTGACTCATTGAAATCTGAAAGGACGCAGTAAATTCACTACCCACGCGTCCTAGGGACGCACCTCATTTTTCTCATGGAAAACGATACATTTTGAACAATAACTTTTTGTTTAAAATCACAGTAACTAGCAAAAAGAAACCTGTCAGCGGACGTGACAAGCGCTGTTTCAACCCTTTGCGCATTAACTCAGCGCAGACATGATCCCCTTGAGTACGGTATCACGACATGCTAGTTTAGCGGCTACAACAACAACTAGCCAGTAACCGCAGATTCCATTTCAACAATAAAGATACAAACTTCTTGGTTGTAAATAAATTCGCGTTTTAACTGCTCTATGCTGTGTTCATTCAGGTCGATGATGTTTTAACATCTAGCGGACGTGCCGTAATGAAATAAATAAAACATATTCCGGTGGTGGCTGTGTGGCAATGAACAATACTTTGAATGGCGGTCGCCATTTTGTTATGCTCAGACGGCGTCTGCGCATACATCCCGCTTCCCACGTGATCCCGTTTTTCCTTGAGTAAGCAGGAAAAGTAGAACGCAAAAATGCCACTTAAGAGACATAACACTTAAAAGATGAAACCTATTGCTGGCCAGAAGACTATTGCATCTGTATTTTCTGCTCCATCTACCTCTGGACCCCTCCCTGACTTTAATCAGCCTCCCGAGAGTACCTCAACATCACTTATAACTACTTCTGCCTCCTCTACTGAGCTGGATGAGCCCACGGAAAAAGAGGTGCCTCCACCTTCTACATTGTCCTCCCAAAAAAGCGAACTTTCCTCAAGCAGTGGCTCACCACATATAAATGGCTTCGCTTTTCTGATGACAATTTCATGTACTGCGAAAGTTGCACGAATTATAACAAAACAGGCACATCTATGCACAAGTCAAACAAATGCACCAATTATCAGAATTCTACCATCACTCGCCATGTTTTAAGTAAGTCACATCAGTCCCGCCTCAGTATTCCTGCTCTACAGAAAGACTTCGAAGTCAGGTGAAGATGGACAGTCTGCAAGACAAAGCAGTGCTCTTTTATGTTGCTACAGAAGTGCATTATGATATACCACTGTGACAGTTGTTGTGCAATAAACTTTTCAGATTTGGAATTGTATTTGTTTAATTTCAGATACATTTTGAACATGCATGGATATACCTGCTAATTATATCCATATCTTACCATACCACCATTAACAGAGTTTAACACTACAATTTAAGAAATAGACTAATATAAGAAATAGAAAGAAATACATTTTTTAATTGGGGACCCATTGAATTTCCCAGGGACCCACTCAAATCACCACCTGTGGGTCCCAGGGACTCACTACGTTGAAAATCTATCAACATCACTGGATGAGTAAAGAATGATTTGTAACTGTGGACGCTGTGTTTGGTTCCAGGTGGAACCAAAACCCTGACGGTGCCAGAGGGAATGTTGAAATGCAACACCAAGCTGGTGGACCTGATTGAACGAGTCAAACCAGAGATAAGGACATTGATTGAGAAGTGTAACACAGTAAGTGTGCCCCCAAACTCTCACATGCAGACGCTTGCTCATTGATTGGACAGTTTTGGGGATGTCACTCAGCGCTACAGCCATTCTGCTTTGAATCTGTTTCTCTTTTCTGCTATCACCAAGCAATAACCCATCAATAACCGGCACAACTGATCACCTGACCAAATGGCACAGAAAATGTCCGTATCTGGTTGTGCAGACCGGTTTTTATTGAACATCATCTCTGTCAAAATTCTGTCAATACGACAGCATTTTACCTTCTTTGTCAGTGGAAAGCTTTTAACATGAAGCAGCAGCATGATGATTTTACGTATTTTTAATACTAATAACAACATTTTATTTTTACAGCGCTAGCCCTCAAGGTGCTTTACATGAGAAGAAATGAAGGGCAGACACGCACTCTCTTATCTGCTGGTGCGAGCGTGCGCAAGTGTCTGTATGCACGCACGTGTTGTGGCGGAACTTCCGTTTTATTATTATTCCAGACTTACTTGGGGGGGAGGGGGGGTTTAATGGTGGGGCAAACCCTGCTGTGTAAAATTCTTTAATGAGATCTAAACCTATGCTTTTAAAATGCTACAGTTTAATGCCATCTGTCATCATCTTGTCTCTGCTCTGTAAGGTGAAGATGTGGGTCCAGCTGCTCATCCCAAGAATAGAAGATGGAAATAACTTTGGAGTCTCCATACAGGTAAGTCCTCCCTAACTGCGTCATCTGAAAAAGATATTTTACATAATGGAGGCTAAAATTTATCATTTAAGTTTAGTTTCATTCAGCTAAAACCGAATGTCCATAGATACAGTATTTCGTGGTGATTTACGTTCTTAACTTGAGATTTCAGTCAACATATTTGAATTCTATATGTTGTATTTTAAATATGCATGTAACTTCTGACCTTCTGGGTCCAGAGGCTGGGCTATTGTCCGGTCCTGTCCAGAGTAAGCTTTGGTATTGGACCAACAATTAGTCAAGATATCTTCAAAATTGAAGCATTGTCACACCCATTGTAAGTCCTGAACAAAGGTTCAACCTGAGAAGAATCCTCCACATGGAGATGGCCGCTTGTGTTGGGTCAGAACCTGTGTGGTCTGTCGCCTACTCTACCTGTAGTCTCCTCAGTAAGGTGTCCAGGTCTGCTGTAGCTGTTACAATAAGTCCCAAGTTATGGTCAGGCACAGGATGTGGCTCCGGTGGGAGACTGAAGGCACTTACAAATGGACGTTTATCTTTAATCCTTGATGTCCTAAATGTATACATTTTAGACAGTCTGAACACACATGTGCCATTCTTTGTTTACCTTTTTTACATGCTTTCACTAGTTATCCCGTGTTTAAAGTCACATTGCAATGACTTGTGGGTAATTCCCTTGGGCTAAATCAGCATCCGATGCTGCCGGAGAGCCCTTGAACACTCAACGATATGACAAAGGGACACAACCAAATCCTCCCAGAATCAGCAAGAGGTCTAATGCACTTAGACCTCAAAGTCTAAGTGCATGAGGGTGCAGATTGGAATTGGAATAGGGATTGGGATTGGGTGAGGGAGTAGACACTGTTTCTGCCATCACTGTGTTCGCCTTTGGGGGGCAGCACTTACATGCTCCATCGGTTTTGTCTGATAACGGAGGAATGTGTTGTGCAGTGGTTCACAAATGTTTCTGTCGAGCTCCCCCTTTAAAGATATAGGAACATTGAAGGACCCCGCCTCCCTTACCACTTTGAATGGGTTATAGCTTTGTTGTTTTGAATGAACTGCATTATAATATGAGTTGATAAAATATTAGTTTTTCCTTCTAAAAAATAATTTACATATTACCTCACTTTTCGTCTTGAGTTTTTTTTTATCTGATTATGTTTCTCTCTCTCTCTCTCTCTCTCTCTCTCGATTTCTTTTTCTTACATTTTAATTTTTTTAGGTGCAAACATATGATATAGTGCCCTATGTGGTAGTTGGGGCGCTAGGTAGGACATACATGGGTGTCCTCTTCATGTGCAGTCATGTGTTCCAGTTTCAGATCTCAGTCCGAATCATATGGTCGGCTCTTTACATTCCAGGTTTGTCATACACAAATCCCTATATGAGGAAATAGACAAAGAGATACAGGTTTAACATACAAGTTGACGTATAAGGTACACAGAGCGAAGACAGATATATACAAGACCGAGAGAAATCCAAACATGGTGCGGCACTGGAATGAGGCAAGCAGGACCTCGCCCCCCGTACACACAGGAGCAGAAGCAGAGGGCCTCAGGTCACACACAGTTCATTTGTGTGTGTAATTTCTTAACATATAGTTAAAATCTATACTTAAATTCATTTGTGATTGAGACTACTCATACGATTAAAATATTACATGCAATGTTATCAATCCCAACATGCATATACAGGAGATATCAAATATCACCACTTTTTGCAACTTGTTAGCAATTGTATTTAGTGTGTGTGCACTGACCCGCCATTTCACACATGATAGCAATCATCTGATTACATGGTCGACTTGTGAAAGTTTCTACAGTGTTAAACTATTAAGCAGAAACTGCTGAATCTTTAGGGATCTATGCAGTTAGTGTCCAAACCAGACATGGGCAAAATACGGCCCCCGTAAAAACAGGGAAATGGATGCAATATATAGGAAAAACGGTCTGTAAATTATAATGTGATTTCAAATGTGTAATTACTTACAAATAAATTCATAAAGAATACATTTACACAGACAGAAACTCTTATTCTTATGTAGCATTACAAACCTAAGGCCCTTTCAAAATGTAATACACGAGCCACCAATTTCAGATGGTATTTAAAAGGAAACTATCAATACTTAATAATTCCACTTCAGTCATCAACCTGATGCCCATCATGTTGGGCATGGGGGGATAAAAAAGAAAATGCTTTCATGTTTCAGTTTAATGGAATCTGCTTTTTTTTACCCATGGCCAGGTAGAAGACTGGCCATAATCTACTTGTTAAACACTGCATATAAGTCATATACTTAATTCACAATGAAAATATAGATTTTGTGGTTAACGATAGAGAACTATTTATTGTAAAGGACTGTTATTTAGAGGAAGTTGGCTGACGAATGACATTTTGAGAGGCTTTCTCTTTGAAAGGGTACATTACAATGTCCTGATCATCACTGAGTCACACCCTGAGGGTGTGTACTATCAACCTTAAGTGGAATTATCAAGCATTGATAGAAAGGGACACCTCCAGGGTTGTTCACTATCAACCTGAATTGGAATTAAAACGTAACTATTGTTTGTTTGCTATCAAGTATAATCTAACATTTTAGATGAATTGGATCATGAAAGATTTTGAAGGGAGCTGGCTCAAGTCAGAGATTTTGAAGGGCTTGCATTTTGAAATTATTGTCCTGAGTGACATCTTGAGCTGCAATTCTATCAACCTAAAGTTAAATCATTATTTAACTATCCACCATTTCCTTTCAAATCTTATCTGAAATTCAGCAGAATTTGGTTCATGAATTAGATTTTGAAGGGTATTAAGTTTAAAATGCTAGATAAGATGTCTGATATGTGTAATTCATTCTTTATAAATATATTTGAAGTAATTACACAATTGAAATTACATTTTTCCGCCAATAGTTGGCATGCGGCGGGTCGTCGTGGCGCAGGGGTAGAGAGGGTTGTTGTGCACCGAATTCGGACCGCAATGGCTATTCGGCGAGTTTGCGTCTGCGCTTCCTTAGTTTAGCTCAGATGAAGACTAGGCAGACGGTCGGCCAGCAGAGATATCCTTGTGGACTTGCCTGCTCCGTTTTCTGGCAACGGTAGCCAGCGTTTCCTCATCTGGATGAGACCGTCCGTTACAGTAGTCGTGTCAAAACCCATCTAAAATAATAAACTCATTGCAGGGTTCATTGACCGTAAGACACACGCATTTTAACCAGTTCACACTCCACATCTTGAGATGAGGGTGTTAAACCGCCTCGGCCAGCGTACCTTCGTTACTAAAGCCTAGTTTATGCTTCTGCAAGGACGCACACACAAGCGCCCCTTGTGTGTCCCTTGCTACCTTTTCACACCTCCTTGCGTACTTGCATGCGTTGACCAATTTTTATATACTAGCGTCAAAAGCCACGCGCGCCTCAGGCAGCCTGCAAGGCTGTGATTGGTCTGCAAACTACATCCTTTCCGTTGTGGAGGAAAATACGGGACAAAATGGCGATGAAAAACAGCAGTGGCGATGCACGGGAAAAAAAAGTCTCTGATAAATAAATAAACAAACCAACGACTTTCACACACAAAGACGTCACTCTCTACTCCACCTGTTGTTCTGGCAGTGAATTGCTTTGCAACATGCAAGACTTTTAGAACCATGAATTGAAACGAGTGCGTCGACACGACTGCGCGTGCAGATGCAGAAGCATACGCCAGCCTTAACGAACAAAGACACGCAAACACACGTGACAGATGGAGGCTTTTGATACAACTGCTCAGTCAAGGATCTGGCGGCACATGGCAGGTGTAAGAAAAGCCTGAGGACAGACACAATAGAGAAAAACTAGTGAAACCATAAACCAAAAAATTACGACGAGACAAAGAGAAAGAAAAGTGGAGATCCAGTTGAAAATGGCTGATTGGTTTATGGTGCAGCCAAGAAAATGTATTGCGCTGATTGTAGGACGGTTAAGGAGGTCTGTTTTGTAGTTGGGACAAGCAATTTCACAGTGGAAACAATAAAGGACAATTACGTTTTTTTGTTGACCATGTCTTTGAAAAGATAGTAATTCAATTCAATTCATTTTTTTTTTTTTTGCCCATAATCGCAAATTACAAATTTGCCTCAGAGGGCTTTACAGTCTGTACACATACAACATCCTCTGTCCCGAAACCCACCATCGGCACAGGAAAAACTCCCCAAAAAATGGGAAAACCCTTCCAAGAGAGGAAAAAAGGGAAGAAACCTTAGGGAGAACGTCAGAGGAGGGATCCCACTCCCGGGATGGACAGACTACAATGGATGCCATGTGTACAGAATGAACAATATATAATACATGCAATTCCTATGACAGAAATGATTCAAGTAATTGTGAGTAGTAAGCCAGGCGCACAGCAGGACCACTGCAGGGGCAACCACCATCAGATAGAACCACCATCCACAGAAGCCTGTGAGGAGGGAGAGCACAGAGACTTTAGGAGAGGGTAATGTTGGTTTACGAGTACAGTAATATGATTAATATCGAAAATAATAATGATGATGATGATGGCAGCAGCAGGCGTCCGCATGGCCACGGTAGGTGTCAGGACCAGGGTCCCGAAGGAACCACGATCCACGATCTATAGTAGTTCTACATGGTTCTTCAAGTAAATTGAAACTTGAATCAATTAATCTAGATAAAGAAGTTCAAGTGAGGTAATTGGTTTGGGCGCATGCCTCAGATGTTTTCATGGCAGTCACGTTATGACATTTTTGTATTGTTAATGTTCGTGAAATTGCCTTGCTAATTAATGCTTTGATACCCATTGTGGCCCACGAGTCAAAAAGTTTGCCCACCCCTGGTCCAAACCCAGACCTGACAAAAAATAAGTTCATTGTATTTAACTACAAAAGGAAAATTGGAGGGAGAAGTTGTTATGATTGTTTCATAAAAAACAAAGTGAGGTGAACATTAATTTTGGGTAACTTATGAATGGGTGAATAATGACATGGCCGCCCATTTATCATTTTTAAGACGTGTGTCATATTAATTCAGTGTTCATTTTCACCATGTGTGTTTGTCTCACCTTTACCCTCTGTCTATAGGAAGAGACGGTGGCAGAACTGAGGACAGTGGAGTCTGAGGCCGCATCTTACTTGGACCAGATCTCCAGATATTACATCACCAGAGCCAAGCTCGTCTCGAAAATTGTCAAGTACCCTCACGTGGTGGGTAGAGTGCATTAGCGACTGGAGTCTAGCTCGGCTCTGGTAAAAAAAAATGTCTGGTGGTTTGGGTGTTTAACTGTCTTGTGTTTCTACTTTGCAGGAGGACTACAGGAGAACCATAACAGAGATTGATGAAAAGGAGTACATCAGTTTGAAAATCATTGTTTCAGAGCTCAGGAATCAATATGTGAGTCTAATTAAACCTCGTCAGTGAAACCAGGTCATTATGTCTTACATTGTGGAGTTATCAGTACTCCTCCAAATGCCCTTAATAAAAGAACAAGGATTAGGGAAGAACTTGTTTTAGAATGTTGCTACATATAAACCTGTAAATGTTATCAGTTGGTTGCAGTCAGATTACATTTATTATTAGCGTGCGTTGAGTAACTCCGCTCAACCTTTGGTCCAACACAGACCTCTTCATTTGATTCAATGTTTACATTTCTGATCTTTGCTTTCAGGTGATTCTCCATGACATGATTCTGAAGAACATTGAGAAGATCAAGAAACCCAGGAACAGCAACGCTGAAGCTCTTTACTGACAACTTCTACAAAACACACACACACACACACAGACACATATGTAGACACAACACCTGAGCTCAATCAAACAATACTGACCAATTTTTTTTGAAGTACCTGATGGTTTTGGGATTTTACAACCTCAAAACGATTTATGACGTGTCAAATAAGATGCTGCGTGTAGACCGATGCTGATATTCAGTATTGAAAAGTTGAAATAAAAAGAGTACTCACTATTTAGTATGTGAAACCATAGTGAGCTGTAAACACGATACATGATACAATTTAAAGGAGGCCATAAGAATGCATTAAAAAAACGGTCACACACGCAAATTTACACACACACACCTCCCATTTTTCTTTGTTTTGGTCCTCAACCCGCAGTCATCAACATGCTTTCCAACAGTTAACCTTTAGTTTTCCCATTCCAGTACTCTGGAGTCTAGCCGAGGACTTTTCCCACGGCCGTCCTCCTGTCTCCACTCCCACCGGAGTTCAGAGATTCCCGGATGATCTGTTGGTCCCTTCGTAGGATTCGTCATCTGTTTTTTAATGGTTTTCTTACTTCTTTTTGGCTCCATGTTTCCCGAGCCTCTTAGGCAGATTTTTGCTCCGTCCAGTCATCACCCGCTTGACCGTCAAACTGTCAAGGGCCATCTACTCAGATAGGATGCAGACCGCCTCCCGTGAGGCTTTAGAAAACAGCTGTAGTTCTTTATCTTTAGTGTTGTTGTTATTATCCTGACTCGCAGAGATTTAACTGTACAGTTTATAAAGACAAAATGGAGGACTCCTGCTTCTTTATTTATTCTCCTGTCCACTCAGCTTTGCTTGACACTTGAGGTCCAGACACTAAAGCTTCAGGCTGGCAGACAGCAGTTTCAGGTGGTGTGTTCCTCAATGGGAGTAAAAAGGCTGGATGTGTGTTCTTCTTTTAGAATGCAAACTCAACAATGTGCCTCCAAGCAGACTTGAATTGGAAATCGACGTGTCTTGTCAAATGGTTTAATATTAGCAACTACAGTCTCTGGTCTCTCTCTGGTTTCTTTTTGTTTAATCTGGAGTCTTCAGTTTCCACCACATCTTTTGTGATGTAACAATGTTTTGTATTGTCAACCTCATGATGTGATACTGAAGCCTGGGGCTCTTAAAAGAAACCTTTTGCAACTGGACTGTACAATGGAAAATGACATGGTGAAGGGTAGGGACTTTAAAGTGCATGCGAGTTGTGATTTGAATTGAAGCTTTTAAACGTACAAAGGGACAAAGGAACAGACCAGGTAAAGACTGCTGCTATGTCCAAGAGTCTAGTTTGAACAAGTTCAAACTAATAATAGCTTTTGAATAAATTGAAATGCAACCCGCAAAGCTATGTGGCAATGTTCAGATTGAACTCTTGACATGTGCTATCTGGAGCGTCTCTGGTGTCCAGTGTCCCTATGCAGTAAATGCTGTCTCAGGAGAAAAAAGACAATCCGTGTCTCATTCTAGTTCACTGGCCACATCGACGCAATTGAATCTTATGTGAGCCTGACCACCGACGTCATTCATAGGCCCTATAGAGTGGAGTACAGTAATTAGCAATAATACCCCACTTTTGTGGGTGCATGTGACCTTTCGTGAGCATGGGGCCGGAAATACGTCATTTTGGGCAAGGACCGGAAATACTTTGGGCCGTGTCTTAGACAGGAAATTCGTCATTTTGGCCATGTTTTGGAGGGGGCGTGTATTGTTTTAACGATGACAACTGAGAGCAGAGAATATTAATGCTGAAAAGTACGATAGGGTAGAGTGTAAGACGTGGTGGGGGAATGTCTTATTAACCATCTGATGCACGCTGATGGCGCAGTGATCTCTCCTACGGCAATGGCTTTAAATCTGCTCACGGTAAGACATAAAATTAAACTCTGAAAAGAATGTTGACATAATTGCTTAAACCAAGGAGGATCAAAAGCTACATTTCCCTTTGTTTTTTTGTGGGAGGCCAAGTACAAAGTGCGGAACATATAGGGAGATATTTGAATAACGTTTTTGGAGAGCAATGTGTAGTGTAACCATGTAACCAATGTGTAAACATTTCACAAGCTCCTGTTCTTGCCCCTCGAGATTTTGTTTCCAGATTTTCTCTATTTTAAACACTTTGTTTTTACCTATAATTACTTTTCGCAACTGTAGTTTGTTCCTTTCACCAATTCCCCTGTATAATCTTTAGTTTATAAACCGGGGGGTCTCTGGCTTCACTTTGATATTGTAAAATTGGTGAATAATTGTTTATAACCCTTCCTCAATTCTCCTCTGAGTTTTGATATTCTCACGGTATGCCCCGTGTCAAATTCAACACACACCGTCTTGTGAGGGTTCAACTTGTACAGATGGGTAAACTGTCATTGTCTTATTGACTGCTGATGGTTACATCTTTATATCTATGGTGAGAGTTGTTATAGCCTTGACAAGCTCCTGGACTACATCCACATATGTGTGTAAATTAACTGATGTCAAATATCTCCACATGCAGGTTTTAAAAGTCCTGTTAAATGGCTCCACTACGCTGGCCTTAGTCTCATTTGATATTGAAATATGTGTAATTTTATACTGCTCCATTAGCCTCTGAAAGTGTTTATTATAAAATGCTATACCTTCACCTGTTTGAAGTTTCACAGGTGCACGTCAGTCAGTCAGAATATCTTTAAAGGCTTTTGTGAGGGTGAGGCCAGGTTTGTTAGAAAGACACCTAACCCAACCATATTTTGAAAATACGTTGATACACATCAACAAATACCTCACAGCATTGTTTTCCTTGGCACCCATATCAACTAGATCCACCTGAAACTGGTTGTCAATACCGCTGGCTAAAATCCTATATTCCTCGGAAAATATACGGCCGCCTTGGCGTGTAAGTGTACACATCTTGTTCCAGTAGAAACGTATTAACCCTGAATAATGATGGTGTCACCCTGGTATATTCTCTAACAGCATTGTTAAGTTTGGACACATTACCTAAACCTCCCGGATGGGCCGGATTGTAATAAGTATTTTGTAGAGTCCTTTCCATGATAGTGTATGAAGTATGGTTGACCAACAGTTGATTCGATACAACATATTTTATTTCTGTTAAGATATGACAAGCAGCCTGATAATAAGTATATCATCCATATGAAATTAAATTCAGGTTATAAAACACTCAAGATTCACATTCATTTGCTATCATTTGATTTGATTTTTTTCTTTTGCTTGCTTTTACACATCAATATCCGTCTCATCATCAACAGGCACCTCCCCCACTTCATGCACTTCAACACCTGGTTCTCCGCCATTTGTTAAGCATTTTCAGTCGTTTATTTTTGAGTTTGTCTTCCCTGATCATTGTATCATACATTTTTGGAATGGTTTCAGGTACATTCTCTACAGATTTCATTGAGAAGTGCTTCTGCAGCCCCCTGGATGCGGTGCCCTGAGACATGGATGTTATTCATGGTCAGAAAAAGAAAGATGGAGTCCTCAGTCCAGAGCCTGTTCATCGGGGGTACAAAGTGTTGTTCATACAACCAGTCCGGTTGGGTACAAACGAGGGTGGTTCTTCTGACTGGGATTATCAGTCTGAAAGCCGTAACAGATCTTTATGTTGTATTTAACCCAGACCTTGTTAAGAAAATGTAGCACACTTATTTTACCGCCTTCCAGGAACTTTGCAGAACGCTTAAACACCTCTTGAGGTTCACAGACCTCCTCATCCTCCTCCTCTATCCGAGTCATAGGTAATGATGGTGGTAGGGTGTGGATCATCAAGGATGGGAGATGGGGAGAAGAGGTTGGTGGTCCATGGTGAGGTGTCCACGGTGTCTGAAAATATTTTTTTTAGGGTTCTGCATCAATTGCAGATAACATAACAATAACATAACCCACCATTCGTTTAGATGGATGAAGGATGAATTATTTTCGGTACACGTGGTATCAGATATACCAGGTTGTACACTGCTCGGTGTATTGGCGTAAACAAGACGTTTTCTAACAGTCCAGTAAGCCGTCTCTCTGGATCGGTTTGTCAATCTGGCTAAACACTTTTTGCAGAGCAAATTGTATTTAACCATATAACCTCTAGCATTAATGGAGGTGCCATCTCTAGAACAGAGGTCCGCGGAGGTACTGCAGGGGGGTTGCGGAATTGTATTTCTTTGATTGTTTAAAAAAAAAATGTTCAACCAATTTTTTCGCGCAAATTTAAATGTCTTCAGAATCAGAATTGTATTTATTGTCTTTAAATACACTTAACATGAATCCAACATATTGTAGCGAACAGATAAATTGATGGAGAAGACGTTATCTTTCAGTCCACAATGCACACATTCAGATACCCACAGGAGCTCTCTCAAGCTGGGCACCGATTCGCTCACAGCACCTTTCATGCAAGCCTACCCCACAATTTAATACATAATGACAAGACTTTTAATTCATTCCTATTAAACATTAAGAATAATTAACCTAGATCACTATTTGTCACACTTCATCCTGAGTTAAACCAAAGAGGTCAAAGGGCCAAACATCTAATGTTGGTCAAATGCTGTGTTCCAAAAAGATAACTTTTTATTGCAGTCAGATTTGTTACTATTTAGAAAATAGTCTAGGCTTCTAGGCTTGCGTCGAAAGAAAAATGGGTCGACGAACGCTTGCACGCAAGGAGGTGTGAAAAGGCACGCAAGGGACACGCAAGGGGCTCTTGCGTCTGCGTTTCCTTGCATCGCTCTGAAAACGCAGAAGCAAAAACTAGGCATTACTCTCAACATTAACGCACATCATAGACTTAGCTTTTTTTCAGAAGCCTTTCCTCCTAACAGGCTTTCAGTGCGTGGTGGTTATTCCTGCAGTGGTTCTGCCTCACACCTGCTCACTACTCACAATATTTGAATAATTTCTGTCATATGCATTGGACGTATTGTACATATTTTACGTTGTTCTTTCTGTACACATGACATAAAATATAAAAAATAAAATTATTTGAATCGAATTGAATGTGGGCTGTAAGGTATGTTCTGTGTAGTAACTTTGAAAGATCAGTGTGAATACAAACTGCCAAACTCGGTCTGGCTGGAAATTAGTGGATTAAGCCCTTGTGAGAAATCAAAAGTATCTTAACGTGTTTGTCATTGAGTATTTATTACTAACTAGAATATAGAAAAATCACAATACAGAAATCATCAACACAAGCCGTAAGTACAGACAGAAGTTGAAATGATTCAACTCAGCTGTAAAGGTCCAGATTGTTTCCTCTCCCTCAGAGGAGCAGGAAGATCTGACCAAGCTTCTTGGGGTGACTAGAAGCTTTAATACACATCAGAGAGATATTTTTTGTTGTCCAATCAGAATCCCCCCCCTGCACATGGGAATATCACAGATGTGTGGGGGAACCCTCTTGACCTTCCCTCAATGGGACCCAGGCATGTGTGTGTGTATATATATATATATATATCATATTAGACACGGTGGAGAGAACAAGATATAAAGCCGTCAAGGTACATATGGGTCCCAGCTGTAGGAACAGTATACTACCCTGGACTGGTTTAAGTCACAGGTTTCCCATAAAAGGTCACATACAGAGTTCCTGAGAGCCTCACAATGTGCAGATCAAAAATTCTCCCCCAACTTTCTGAAAATAACTCCAAGAACCATAAATTGATGTTTTTTACATTTGTGTTTGTGTCCAGAATGAACTCTCTTGATAATAGGTGTTAAATATGTTTCAAAAGGTGTTGGTAGTTAACTTTGGACAGAAACACAGGCACAGGCCAACAGCTTTCCCCTACTTCCAGGCTTTGTGCTAAGATGAGTTAACAGTGTCCTCCAGTGTTGTACTTAAACACACAACATATGGGCCATCCCAAATTTTCTCTAAAAACACGTTAGCATTAAAACAAGTTTCTTGATGGTTTTGCTGAATAAACCCAAGCCTTTCTCTAACGGGATTAGGGCTAACAACAGCAGTGCACAACAAATCAGACCGAATCCTTAAACTTCATGACTCCTTCGAAGCCGTGGTAGGTGAAGGGTTCAAGGACGGGACTACATGTCTCTTGATTAAGGCAGGCCATCCTATTGTTGTCACAACTGTCCTCGCTGCCTGGGGTAATGTAGACCCCATCAGTAGAGTGGATCGACGGGTCCTCGTCAAAGTAGTTGTGGGGCCGCAGAAGGACCCCGCCACCGTTTCCCACGGTTACCGTGTTGGGGATGTCCTCAGAGTGAGGGATGTGGAGGAAGCCAGTGGTCACCCAGGCAACCAAGTCCTGCAGATCCATTTACACATCAGGCAAATTCCTTCATCTTAATTACCTCAGATTAAAGTTCAATATAATTAGCATAATGTTATTAATTTCACATGAGGGGTTATTTTTCAACGCACCTCGTCTTCTATGCTTTCGTTGTCTTCAATATACTTGCTGAAGTCCACAGTTGGAGACCAGATGTTGTTTTGACTGTACAGGCTGCTGCTGGTCTGCTCCAAGTCTTTATGTTTGGTAACTGCAACCTTATACCTGGAGAAGAACAGAAGAGACGCAGAGTGAGACGACTTTGGGTGGTCAGAAGAGCACATTTTTTTCACATTGAGAACTGATTGGTTTTCAAAGTGTCCCTCCCTGTTGCACAAGAGCATCTGCCATATGGATTTCGAACCGAGGAGAAGAAACTTCCAACACAAAGAACGGAAAAATATAACAATCCTGCACACTCACGGAAACTATAGAGTCTTGGGTATAGAGGGAAATAATCTGTTTATAAATGCTCCAAACACAACTCCAACAAGTATTAAAAGAGTATGGAAATGAGCTCAGATATTGTGTCGTGCCCAAGAAGCGAAAAAGCGGTATTAATCAGGTTGTTGGTGTCTATGTTGTCTTATTATATTGAAAAATAACCTTCCTCTGGTTTCAGGCAACTTGCTACTGGGGTGGCGTGTGGGGTTGTGAGTGCGTGTTGGATGATCCGGAGCAGTTGGGAGAGGTGTTTCTGAGGGGACTTATCTGTCCTGTCGACGACGGCGAGGAAGCCCACCGTAGTCCAGGGCGGTAAAAAAGGGTATCTCCAGCCGGTTCTCTCCCTCTGGTGTCGAGCAGTTCCTTTTGTATATTACTCTCGTAGGGCACCCGAGGTCCAGATACCAGAGAAATCAAGTTTTTGTTTGTCCTTTTTTCCTCCCACTCCTCTCTCAATTCTGCCATTCAGCCTCTGCTGTCTCCAACACATGTGTGTCTTTATTTTGGTCAACTGGGAAAAAAAGAAGTCTGCAGACTTTGGTCTGCTAAAGGTTCCTGATCCATCAGAAGCCGTCTCCAGAGGAGGGGGGTACTGTCATGTCCAAAAAGCGGTGTTAATCATGTTGTCTCGTGATTTCCTGTTTTATTTTGAAAAATAACCTTCCCGTCGTTTCAGGCAACTTGCTCCTTCCCGCTACGTGTCGGTCCGATTGTCTGCCCTGCCCCTGATTGTTAGTTAGTGATTTTATTCCAGGTGAATCTCAAAAGGTTTTTTGTTGTTATTAGGGTCCTCGCTACGACAAGTCGTAGAGGAAGATATTGTATTTCATGAAATTATTCTTATTTTCTCTAAGGAATTTTCCCTTTTTGAGGCCTTTATCATATTCAAAAAATTCTTAAATTTGGCATGCATATCAGAACGGGTGAAAAATTTGAAATGTATCTATAGCGCCCCCTATGGGGGACCACACTAGGCCAGATTTTTCCTCCGATGCCCGATTGACTTGAAATTTGGCACACATGTGCACTTGGCTCTACAAAAAAGTAAATCATGGTATGCAAATGCACCTAACTAGATTTTCCGGCATTTAGAATTTTGTGAAAAACACGTTTTTGGCCATTTCTCCTAAGCGCTATGTATGATTGTCAGGAAAATCATTTTTTCATCATATTTGAAGAATAGGGGGCGCTGCAGATAATTGTTGAAAATCTGCATTTTTAACCTATTTTCATGATTTTTTAGAGTTACAAAATTCCACACTCCTCCCCGGGATTAAACCCGACTCGTTTCAAATTCGCTTAGTGTGATCTGGAGACCTTAGGCTCTAAAAATTGCGTTTTGCCGGAAGAAATTCTAAACTATGTGTGTAGGGAGCATTTTCACCAGTAAAAAACGAAGGTGGCAATTTAAGAGGCTTTCATTTCTAAAATGTCCTGGTTATCTCCGAGCAACACCTTGGGGATGTGTACTATCAACTTGAATAAAAATACTCATGTAACTAATGATTGTTACCTTTTTAATCTAATCTGAATTTAACCTGATGTAGTCTTGTCATTGAGATTTGGGCTCATGTATGGCATTTTGAGAGGCTTTCATTTTGGAATAGTAGATCAGAGTAGATCCTGCTTATCCCTGGGACACCTTGGGGATGTGTACTGTATTTTACTCACCATAAAGCGCACCGGATTATAAGGCACACCTTCAATGAATGACCTATTTTACAACATTTTTCATATATAGGGCGCACCGGATTATAAGGCGCATAAGATATTGCAGTCAAACGTTTGACGTCGGGGCGAGCTTCGGCTGCTCTGTATCCACGCCGCCTGACAAGGGCCCCTTTTAGAATACCTTAACTATTAACTTCCCCGTTAAGATGGTTCAGCTACTGTAAAGAAAAGGGCACCGTCTCTCGCTCTTTAATCTCATTAAGTGCTCGGCAAGAACGACAGCTTTGTTTCTCCGCCGCGCCTGAAACAAGCTCCATATCTCACGCGCTTGATTATAAGGCGCACTGTCGTTTTTTGAGAAAATTAAAGGCTTTTAAGTGCGCCTTATAGTGCGGAAAATATGGTACTATCAGTCTGAAGTGAGATGATCATGTAACTATTAATTGTTTCCTTCAAATCTATTCTGAAATTGACAAGAAGTTGGATGGTGAGTGGCCTAAGTGGCCTTAATAATGTTAAAGATGAAGTTTGCAAAGCGGCATTCTGGCGTTGCTCCACACGGTTAACGAAGACTTAATCTCTCTTGAATCTCGTACGCTTTGTCCGACGGCCGCAGGAGTTCTTGGCTGCGTTTTAAGCCATCCGGCCGGTGCCCCGACGTACGGAGTAGCGAGGATCTGTCCAACGCTGCTCGCAGTTTTAATTATATAACGTATTTCTTTACCAGTAACATATAAAGTGATTTTTAACATTAGAACACTCCTGTCTCTGCGTACCTCTGTCCTGACAGAAAGTGTGTCCAGATACACAAAGCAGTTATTTTACTTTGTATGATGGGTATTCCATTTTTAGAGCAGAGGCCCCAAAACAGTCTCAGGGTGCCAAAGGTTTGAGCAGTGTATGGTAAGTTAAGTGTCATTATCGTCGACATCTGACCAAAATCAAGTTCAAGTCTATTTCTGAGGTGTTTTCTCAGCAAATGTCAAGAAAAGTGTTTTGGCCATCATTGACGAGAAAGTCGTCAAATCGCAATCATATATTAGTGTTGTCACCAGGTTTTAGGATGAGATAAACCAGTTTGTTGTCTGAATATAGATGATATCACGTTATGTCATGTTTTGTTATGTGGCTGAGGGACATTTTTTTTACACGTGGTCCAAATATGAATCATTGTGAAATTCGGCACATACAGTTTACAACCAGGCAGTCCATGTATCTTTACTTCCCTATCTCAATATATTATCTAACACAACTTTTAACCAAAGAAGCAAACAAAGTGCTCCCAATCATTCACTTTTAACAATATGAGTTTGCAACTGCCTTTTCTCACCTGGCCCAGGACATTGCCCTCTCCTCGGGCTGGCTCTCTGGGAGGTGGTCTCCAGCGAAGCTGAACACCTGCAGCCTGTAGGAGCGCTGGTGACCCCAGCGGTTGGTCTTGTTGCTGGCGATGTGGAGGTAACGGGGAGTCTTGGTGTCATAGCGCAGAGCGGCCTCCTGTGGGGGTGTCACCATGGATTTTAGTCTAGAAGACTAAAGGGGCCCGGTGAAGACCCAGGACTAGGTGAAGAGATTATATCTCTGCACTGGCCTGGGAACGCCTTGGGATCCCCCAGTCAGAGCTAGTAGATGTGGCCCGGGAAAGGGAAGTTTGGGGTCCCCTGCTGGAGCTGTTGCCCCCGCGACCTGACCCCGAATAAGCGGCTGAAGATGGATGGATGGATGGAAGTTACTGTTTTAGCAGGAACTTTTATTCAGGATTGTGGCGTTTTTTGTAGAAAAGGGCTGTAGTCTCACCGGAGTCCCTTTGTACCTAATTCTACCATAACAATGCAGATGACACCCAAATAATCGTTTTTTTTCCTCTGAGACACAAGTACCATTTTCTGCAATTATGGAATTGGGTTCGGGAGTGATGGAGTTGGGAGACAGAATGTTTGTTATTAAAACAACATAAATAAGCAATAAAGTACGAGAGGCTGTACATTATCGTCCAATAATGTAACAGATCAGGGGTGTTGTTGCGCATCGGGCTGGCAACTGCTTGGGTCAATGTGAACAGCAACTGTACATTATCGCTGAAAAATGCACACCCCGTCCACTCTCAGCGTTCTCAACCAATCAGAACGCTGGACTTTGCACTGATTAGCCTCAGCGCAAACATTACAGTAAGAATTCCTTCCATGGGGTTTTATCTTGCCATTAACAGCGCTGCGTCTCCCGGTAACTTGAGCTGGTCGTTGGACCCAGGTGGGGTGAGGGTGAGGGTCAGAGGCTTCACTAAAACGTTCACTAAGAGCAGTTTATTCTAGCGTCTTGTGTATTTACAAACACGACATTGGTCACGTAACTTGAGCGATTTCATAAACTAAGATGTGATGTTCTATCATATATTATAACATATTATAACGTCGGTAGTTTTCGAGTGAATTATATTACTTAACGTTACATTTAAAAGTGAACTGTTCCATGCTGTCGGGTCACCCGCCTCGTCCTGAATAAATTAAATCGTGGTCGGCCCGCACTGCATGCTGGGATACGCTGGGCCGCGAAGGATAGATCGGAATGTGTCCTCCAAATCGGTTTCTGGAGGACTGCGTCCTTCGACCACGTTCAGAGGAGCCGACGGAATGGGAGAGGCAGGTCACAGCCAAGTCGCAGCGGAAGTGACATATGCGGTCGATGAATGCGTTGTTAAGGATGCGGCCTAGCAACATTGAGACACAGCTAGAGACTAGCGTGTGTTTTGAGTTACCACGGTAATGGCGCACCCGAGATATAATACAAGTTAAATGCAATAATCTGGTGGACATGGAGAGCACAATTAATTTATGGTTACAACATTGCAAAACATCATTGTGAATAGTTTAGAATTTCAATCTATGTAAAAACAAGTAGTCAGAGATTACTTTTTATTGTCAGTTAACAATTAATGGAATATGAAGGTATTTGGGAATATACCCCTTCACCTGTTCTGTTGTGAGTTGCTTCTCCACCAGCTGAGGGACCATAGCGTAGCGATCGGGCATCCATGGCAATGACACATTGACGTATTGCATGTCTTTAGTCTGGAAATAATTATTCACACCTGCAAAGGATATGAGGCAAACATGTTTACAATACTATTTATTATGTTTTGATGTATTTGTTGGAATGCTGCTTCAGTACCCTGACCCTAACCCTAACAAAAACGTTATGAATCTGTAATTTATTTATATAAACTTGTTCGTATGTATTTAACTTACTTCAATATCACTGATTGTGTTTCATTCGTTTTTCAGTCGGTTTCTGAGATTTACTTGTGTGTGTGTACGCGGGGAGTCAGTGACACTTTTGACATGGAGCAGCCAGGGTTTGACTATTTGACTATAGTTGTACTATTTATTGTGTTATGATTATTGTTGTCAGGCATCATGAAAATTGTTTGTAGTGATATGTGTGCATTTTAGCTTTGGACATCGTACAAAAATGTTTCATGTTAATCTAAATAGCTAAACCGCCACAAACAGGTTAAAATGCACCACAACTCACCCACCACATCGAGGTCGACCTTAAAGTTAATAAAGTGGGTGTGGATGTTCCCCAGCACGTTCTCCGCCACCTGGTGACCGTGTCTCAGGCTGCCATCCACCAGATAAGAAGAGGAGATGTAGCCGGTGGCGTGGACTTTGGCCTCCACTGACCCACTCTGATAGAAGATGAAATCCCACATGTAGTCATAGTTCCCGATGGCCGTTATGGTCCTGAAAACCAGGGCGCTGTTCACCATCCCCCCATAGCTGTTGTGGAAAAAGTCCGAGAAGTGTCTCCGCAGGGGCTGACCCATGTTGTGTTCAAACACGCAGATTGAGTTCCTAAACCTCACCGGGGCCGGGACGTCGAAATAGCGGTACGTGTCTACGTAGGTGGCCTCGTGGGGACAATCCACGCCGCGGACCAGTTCATGCGCGAAGCGCCCTATACCGATACTCGAATCCAGAAACTTGGTCAGGATCATCCCGGGAGTCACCGAACCGTACACGGACATGGCCTCCTGTACGCTCAGCTCGTAAATGATCCTCTCGCCTTTGAAACGCACATCAAACACCCTCATGCCGGTGAGAGAGCTGAGTCCAAAGGCGAAGCTCCAGTCCAAGTACAAAACGTGGTTGTGGCTGATGCTGTAGCGCTTCCCCTCTGTGTAAAAGAGCTGCGGGCCGATCTGCAGAGGCGTGCTCCTGGGTTTCAGTGACCCATAGTCAGGCGACTCCTTGTAAACTATTTTATTAACGGAGCCCGCATCGTATTTCTGTTGAAGTTCCTCCACGGTGTTGAAATATTGGCCATTGTAAAGCAGCCGTTCCACTTTCCAGTCTGACGCGTTAACGCTTCCGTGGTTAAGCAGCACCTCAAAGCCCACCGGGTGGATGTACATACCGGCCATGTCCCTAAAGAAAGATATCCAGGTCTTTCTGTCCCCGGATTGGACCCCGCGGGGCATCTGCTCGAACGCGTTCAGCTTCTTGTCCGGACCCACGTCGAAGCTCTCTTTTACCAGCTTCCCCAGCTTGGAGAAGATTTCCTCAATACATGTAAATATCATGACGTATTCCCCAATGGTGACCGTGCGTGCATTGATATGGAGCTCTGTGTTGTACCGCTCCTTGGTGACATCTCTGTGGTATGTTAGGTTGGGAAGAGGACCCAATACGTACTCCTTGATGTGGCCCCTTTTGCCGTAGAAGACCACCGCCGTCGCCTCTCGGATAGGCTTTGCGCCTTTCCCATCCAAGTAAGCCAGTGCGTCAGCCTTCTTAGGCAGCGACAGCTCTATCAAAAACAAGAAATTTTGTGACGGCTTGGTGATCTGGTTGGTGGATATGTCCAAGTCTTTCTGTCTTACCAAGTACCGCTGTACCTGCAAGTACTCCTCCCGAGTGAGATCAGCAAACGCCAGGCTGCGCTCGTCGTGTTTGCGCCTCAGCGGGTGAACGCGTTGCGTGGAGCATTTTGGTGCCCTATTGGAGCGAATGCCTATCAGGACAATGTTAAGGATGATGGAGACGAGGACCAAGACGACGAATGCCCATTTCACCAAAGGATTCATGCTCCGCTCTACTATTACGCACGAGCTAGGGGAAAGGGAAGAATGTGCACTGGGGTTTCGGAAAAGAGAGGAGCGCACTACGAGCCCTATTCCCTCCCCTTTCTAGAGCATGGGTGAGTATGAGTGCCACATTTTATAAAGCGAAGATGCCCAGAGGCCAATAGTTCCTTCTGAGTTTTTTTTTTACCACAACAGTTACATGAAAATGCACATTGTTATCAAACAAATGCCAAATGCCTTTATTTTTAAATATTTGTGATCAAATATAAGTATGGAAGCCCGTAGCCCAAATTATGCATTAAGATATCCGCACGCAGGCTCCTTTTATTGTTTGGTAAATTGACTTTCCAAAACCCCTTAGCGACCTTTTGTCAAAGGCGACTAGTGACAAATCCAGCAACCGTATCTGGTTTTATTGGAGACTTTTGTGAAAGCGCGATTGTTTTTGTCCTTAGCGAGGCTCACAGAAACCTTACGGTCGCAGCTTCAGTCAGAGTTAAGTTAACCTCGCACACACACACACACACACACACACACACGCACACGCACACGCACACGCACACACACCAATGTTTCTAGTCCATCTCTTATGGGGTATATATCGTCTCAATCTCACTTTAAGGGTTGAAATCCAATTTTTTACTGGTGTAATATTACACTTTGTAAGATGGTGTGTGTTTAAAACGGGTATTCTGAATGTGAACTAGTGCAATCCCTTATATGTTGATGTAAGATATGTTAGAAATCTACAATAGAGCCTTTCCAAGCATATTTTAATTCATATGCTGTTTCTGAAACTGTTTTTACATGAGCTAACTTCTGTAACTTGTGAATATCTCCAAAAATATCATTACCATGAGTTATATATATTTTTTTTTAAATCTTAATCCCAGGTGACAAACGATGAGGCCCCAGCTGTGGCTTTAGAAACAGAAGAGTTCCTTTCAAATCTGACTTTCCATGAGGAATTGAACCGAGAGGAAGCCATAGGCCAGGTAAATGTATAACACAAACACTTGCCTCTCCTTCATGGGAGTCTGCATGTTCTCCCCGTGTCTGCATGGGTTCTCTCCGGGTTCTCCGGCTTCCTCCCACAGTCCAAAGACATGCACTGGGGATCAGGTTAATTGTGGACTCTAAAATTGCCCGTAGATGTGTGGATGTGAGTGTGAATGGTTGTATGTCTCTGTGTTAGTCCTGCGATTGGCTGGCGACCAGTCCAGAATGTACCCCGTCTATCGCCCGAAGTTGGCTGGAATGGACTCCAGCCCCACCGCGACCCTGCGTGCAGGATAAGCGGTTTTGACAATGGATGGATGGATGGATTTCAGGATCTAACCTCAGGTTATTACTGGTATAATTGTACACTTGTGCTCATGCATGTTTAAAAGGGCTGTTCTGAATATGATCCATTGCACCTTTTTATATGTTGTTGATTGATGACAGCCCTACGCATGTTTGTTTTTAGTCTTATCATTATCATAAGCCCCTCTGTCTTATTCTAACCCTTGTCTTATCCCCTGCCCCTTCTAACTATAAGTAACTTTACATAATTCTAACAACTAATTTAGTCTGGATGACATTCACATCAATGTTAACAGAATGGATATATTATATATATATAAGTCCAAATATATTTTATTAAATTTAAAACGGAGAATATTTATCCATATTTAGTGGCTTTTTAATAATTAATGCCTCAAACCATGCAGGAGTTTTCAAGGTCAGTATTGAAACTATAGAAAGCTTGTATTGCCTTAACACAAGCTTAGCTCAAGCTTTCACCTATTTGGTGGATGTACCTGTGTGTGCCGAGTTGGTGACACAGATCTTCTAAGTTAGTAGGGAGACAACGCTACGGCTTTATAAGTGTATTACGGAGCTCCGATGATAAAATCATTTCATAAAACATACGTCAATACTTATTTAGGAGTAATGTTTTTATAACGACTAATAGTGCCCTACTCTGAAAGCATAAGTAATCTGAACTACAACTAAGTCATTACTGCAATGGATGATCGATGCAATAGTGTTTAAGCACCAATTAAGATGTACAATTCTTAAACATATATATTAAGTGCTCACTTTATGTCTACTTAGGTAAACTGCTGTTAAAAGAACCTGGACACCAGAGGAAGCAGCAGCGGTGAACAGGCATCTAGGGAGATCACTATGAATAGTGTTCCAGGCAAAGGTGCATTTATGCAGAGCCTGAAGTTCTTAGAATGCAAAACTAGAAGGCAGGCAAATTCTACATTAAAAATAGAATTACTACTTTGTGTGACAAATTATTGTCCACAGTCTTGTCCTGTTACACTTCAGTCGACTCCTACAGTCTATGTTCATGAGGCCTATTTGCAGGCAGCCAAAAAAGATTCCACTCTCCTTGATGAAGTTGTCCCAGGGACTTTTTCTTTAAACTCTGAACACTCTGAACTCTGTCCAGGTCCCGCCTGGCCACAGGTGTATACCTGAAGGCTTAATTAAAATGTCCATTTGTATTTTTTACCTATGATATTGTGTGTTAACGCATATTTTGCACAAACTACCCCTCTTGCACGTCTTCTGCTTTTGCATAGAGTGCCTCCGATATGGAGGGTTTTAAAACATAAACACTCTGTGGTGGTTCACATTATGACTTCCTTAAAGGGATATCTTTCCAGACAACCATTTACTTTCTAGGATATATGCAATAAAAACATCCATTACCACTCACTCTTACTTGAAAGAAACCCTGTCAACTCTCTCTGGCTCATTTTTTTGCAGTCGTCACTTTTTATTTTAAATTCCACCTCATTGTTCATCCAAACAAGTCAAATTTCGTATTCATCACAGGACCAAATATCAAATATGTAGAAATAATAATGAGTGTGGATGGAAATATTTCATAAAACGAAAATGGTGTGGACAGAAATTTATTTTAATCATTTTAATAATAAAAAAAGGGTTTTAACTATCTGTCTACCTTAAGCAGTTGGTTGTTTTATATATTTAGCAGAATGTTTTAATACATTTTCTCCCTCACCGAGCCCTCTTGAGTGAAACAGGACGTTTAGACCCGCAGGAGCGATAATAGAGACGGGATCCCTGCTGTCGTCTTGTCCAGGTCCCGCCTGGCCTCAGCTGCTGTGCTTCCTGCTGGTTCTGTGGGAAATCCTTTTTTTTGTATTAGACTCACTGCCAACATTCTTTCCAAGTCCTTTGATAAGAACAGGAACTTTTCACCTCCAAACTCCGATGTAAGAAAACAAACAGCTTTGGTGCATAGGAAGGCCAGATTGCCAGACAACCATTTACTTTCTAGGATATATGCAATAAAAACATCCATTACCACTCACTCTTACTTGAAAGAAACCCTGTCAACTCTCTCTGGCTCGTTTTTTTGCAGTTGTCACTTTTTATTTTAAATTCCACCTCATTTTTCATCCAAACAAGTCAAATTTTGTATTCATCACAGGACCAAATATCAAATATTTAGAAATAATAATGAGTGTGGATGGAAATATTTCATAAAACGAAAATGGTGTGGACAGAATTTTATTTTAAACATTTTAATAATAAAAAAAGGGTTTTAACTATCTGCCTACCAAAAGCAGTTGGTTGTTTTATATATTTAGCAGAATGTTTTGATACATTTTCTCCCTCAACGAGCCTTCTTGAGTGAAACAGAACGTTTAGACCCGCAGGAGCGATAATAGAGACGGATCCCTGCTGTCGTCTTGTCCAAGTCCCGCCTGGCCTCAGCTGCTGTGCTTCCTGCTGGTTCTGTGGGAAATCCTTTTTTTTCATATTAGACTCACTGCCAACATTCTTTCCAAGTGCTGTGATAAGAACAGGAACTTTTCACCTCCAAACTCCGATGTAAGAAAACAGAAACAGCTTTGGTGCATAGGAAGGCCAGATTGAACACAGAAACTGCAGTGGTAGTTTTTAATGTGCAAATTTCAATAACTTATTTGGATAATGAATATTCACAAAAATTGTACTTTATCCCTTTTAAAGCACTATGCTGCAGGAATAAGTTGGGGTCAAGTGTTACGCCCAAGGTCACATCAAGTAGTCATTTTTTTGTAATGACTAATTGTGCCCTACTCTGAAAGCATACAGTAATCTGAACTACAACTAAGTCATTACGGCAATGGATGATCGATGCAATAGTTTTTAAGCACCAATTAAGATGTACAATTCTTAAACATATATATTAAGTGCTCACTTTATGTCTACTTAGGTAAACTGCTGTTAAAAAACCTGGACACCCGAGGAAGCAGCAGCGGTGAACAGGCATCTATGGGAGCTCACTATGAACAGTGTTCCAGGCAGAGAGGAGGCAAAAGGTGCATTTATGCAGAGCCTGAAGCTCTCAGAATGTGAGACTAGAAGGCAGTCAAATTCTACATTAAAAATAGAATTACTACTTTGTGTGACAAATTATTGTCCACAGTCTTGTCCTGTTACACTTCAGTCGACTCCTACAGTCTATGTTCATGAGGCCTATTTGCAGGCAGCCAAACAAGATTCCACTCTCCTTGATGAAGTTGTCCCAAGGACTTTTTCTTTAAACTCTGAACACTCTGAACTCTGTCAAGGTCCCGCCTGGCCACAGGTGTATACCTGAAGGCTTAATTAAAATGTCCATTTGTATTTTTTACCTATGATATTGTGTGTTAAATTCCATGCAAGGTCCAACCTCAGTTTCTGTAGCGGAAGGGGAAATGACAACTCGGCATAAGCAGAGCTAACGAAATTGTCGATCAAAATGGCCGTACAGAAACCAATGGTGGACTCCCAAATACTCCAAACACTGCAGACAGTCCATGGTTATGTACTGAAAGTACATAAAGTACTGAACTATGAAAAGTATGTTTCTGATAAATGGACTGTACTTGTGTAGCGCCACTCAAAGAGCTTTTATACTACATGTATTATTCACACCAATACCAATGACAGGAGCTACTATGCACAGTGCCAAGTGCCCACAAGTAACTAATATTCCCACCATT